ACACACAGGCAAACAAAGGCACACGTGTTTATCTGTGAATGTGTGAATCTATAACCACTCTTCATAATTCTAGAGAGAGAGAAAAAAGAGAGTGGAATCAGGTGAAGAGAGAAACTGAAACAAAAATTCTTTTAAAACCCTCTTCTCACTATCCAATAATGTATTATTATTATTATTGTTAATGTCTATGCATATATTTACATATGAAATTCTTATATACCGAGCGAGAGAGTGAGAGAGACAGATTTTTTTTGGGGAAAAGTAGAAACAAGTTTGATTTTGACAGGTTTGATCGATGGGATTTTCTCTTCTGAATGCACAATAACAACACTTTAGTTTGTTTGCATAGATGATATTGTTTCTGAAGTCACAGAGCGGCAGGGGAGGAGGGAGAAAATCACATACTTACCTAACACTAAACATACAAAGCAACTAAACCATACATATATAAATAGACGCATAAGCGAATATGCAGGTTCACGTAAATATGTGTATTTTTAATTGTGTGGTTCAAGGCGATCGTTAGGAAGCATTGCTTGACCGAGGTTTCATGCTAGTTGGCACTCGGGTTCGAATCACAGAAGAGACATGAGCTCCTTCAAGATTGCAGATACTAAGCCTTGCTGATTGACTGGGTGTAAGTGCCAACTAGCACGAAATCTAGGTACATGGGGGGGGGGGGCTTCCTGTGGCTGATTTCCTCTAACCATCTGTGATATACCAACAATTCACAGTGAACCATGATGATAAACCAAGCCACATTGCAAACTTGAGTGTCAGTGAATTCAGGCTGCGGTGAACAAAGGACTAGACACATTATACTACTCACTAATCAGAGTGCAATCAAGAGATGTATGCATGTACCTTAGAAAAAGAAGACGAGCATTATTCATCCTCTCTCTATCTCTCACTCAGTCACTCACACAAACACACACACCCACTATCACGTCTACCAGTTTACATGACACAGATAGATTTCTGTAAGGACAGGGTGTGACAAACAGTGTAATCTATCCCATGTGTTCATTTTATCATATTTGGAAGTCGTCAGCTAGTGATCAGTGTACTTGCTTCGCCTGGGAGTAGTTTTGTTAAACGGATTATCGATTAAGCCATTTGGACCACGACAACCACCTCATGTGTTAGTCACCACTAATCACAAATTACCTCATGTAATTCCTAACATATTATCAAATATCGTTTGTACTACGAGAGAGAAGTCGACAGAAACCGAGGATTTCAAGTCAGTACAGTCAGAGGCGAAGGATATAAGAAAGATAGAGACTAATACTCAGGAATAAATAATACTATAATTCTTCTGGAGCTGTAGAGTAATAATTTCACCGGTTTACAGGGCGATGCTACTCTGGAGTTGTAGTCACCAGCAGGCTCCACAAGGTCGGATGTAGGGAAAATTACTCACCAATGACACTGGCTGGTGTTGGTGCTAAGAACCCCAGATTGATTGCATTCTATCTCAGCGACTGGATGCTCAACGAGCCCGCCACATAATCCCTGAAGATCCTCAGTTCGACCCCCCAGTGAAATAGTGTATGCTTTAAGAGTCCCAGGAACTAGGACACAACCGCTAGCTGGGTATCCAGTACTCCCTGGTGGCTTTCAATGGCTGTTTAACTGACATCAATCCGTAATCAGACTTGAAGAAACTGATTATTGCTTATTCTTAAATCAATTCAAATGGAACTCTGAATAAGACATCACTTAGCCAGAAGCAACCAATCAAATTTCTTCAATCAGAAACAACCAATCAGATGCAACCAACTCGTCACCATGACCAGCAATAGAGAATTTTAGGTGACTTGAACAGATTCAACTTTCTAAGGGAAACGACCATCTAGTGGCTAGCTAGCAAGTAGACACTACTTATTGATGAGTCACTAGTAGTATATATCACCACTGGAGAATGTCCACCAAAATTCAGAAAAAAACACATTTAACTAATTGAAACTAGTTGAATGACAAAGATAATAATAACAACAATAATAATTGATTTTTGCAACTTTTGAAAATCCTCCACCTTCCCCCCCCCACCCATCCATCTATTTATCACTTTTCACTTTCTTTCAAAGACACTTATGACTATATAGATGGGTGAGAAATGAACAAATAAATCAATAATTTAATATCGTTTAGTGCTTTCTAAGTTAATTGTGATTAGTTGTTGTAAACAGTCTAACCTCAGCTGTAAATGATTTCAGTTATTGAAAGTGAAGTAACAGATGATTGATGGATTAACTTTACATTTCGTATGACATTTAATTGAATTATTGACTAAGTTGGGTTTTTTTTCCATATCGATATATCGATCGAATTGATTCTTTAATAGGAGGTATAAGACTCATTGGTGGTCTAACGACGGATTTAAGTCCCGGTCCACCTATCCACTCAGCTTTTGGCTGTCCTCATAGTGATCAATGGGGCTCATTGCCAGTAACAATATTGATTTGAATTGTACTCAGGCATATGTATATATTTTTAAGGAGTTTGCTTGTAAGGTATTTGATTTGTTTCAATATATTTTGATCACAGATCGATAACGGTTAGGGAAGCCTTGAAAACCAACCAGGGAGTACTGGACAGCTTATTCGTCCACCTTATTTGGAGTTGATCGGCAGTACGCACCCACCACCAGCCAGGGTAAACTATTCAGCCACTCAGTGGCTAACCCATGAATTCTAATTTCTATCAGTTCGTGATGCATTTAGCGCGACTGATATAAGTCGGTGAATGTTATTGGCGGCGAATATTTGTCCTCACTCCCGACCAGCTTGACACCACTGGTCACTCTTCACTCTTGAAAAATTAATCTGACGCTCGCTAGTGAGGGATTAGCTATAGGACGAAATTGACTAGACTTGTAGTGGGAAGTCGTAACCGGTAATCGGGTCCATCCGATTGGGAGGGATGACAGATACCTGCTAACATTTGTTGGCTGGTGGCTGTTAGAATACGTGAGCTAACCATTTAATCGGGTCCCAGTGGCTGAATGGTGATGTGTTGTAGTGATTCGAGGTCGAATTCAAACCATACGTTTCCTCCCGCGCGGAACTCACCGACTGTATAATCCTATATTCATCAAGTGACTATTTGCAGCGACTTAAATTAGATCAACCTGTTGACAGATCAGTGAGAGAACCTCCACTGCAAAACCATCAGAGATTACTGGACAGTTTTTTCATCCTAGTTTGAGACTGGTCGTCAGTTAACCCACTCCTATGAGCTGATGGGTAAGGATAGACCCCGGGGAATTCAGGTTACATGGCAAGCTCTTTAACCACTCAGCCTAGGAATTCTCTCTATTCTATTTGAGTTCCCTCCTAGTAGCTGGATGGTCAACCGACTCACCTCATAACCTAAAGATCCTAGGTTTGATCCCTATCGGGTGGGATCATAGGTGCATGCTGCTGAAGAGTCTCAGGCTATGCCAAAACAACTGTCCATTACTCCCTGATGGTTTTGAGCGGTGTGTGTGTGTGTTGGTTCACGATCTAACATGAATACTGTTTGACAAATGGAAAATATTCGCGTAACATTTAATACACAGATCAATAACCTAAAACTGTCACATTATTTTAACGAAGTATGACACGAAGAAAGAGTTTCGAGTTAACTGTTGGACCAATCATATAATTTGATCATTATAATTGGTTATCTAATAAACGATCTCAACCAATCAGAAAAAAGAAAGCATACACATTGATCGATTCAGGATTGAAAGATAGATAGATAGCAATAGAGAAAATTGCTGTAATTTGGCATGATAAATCTCGAAAAATCATTAATTAATAATTAATAATAATAGTAGTAAGTAAAGGGAAAACTGAAAGACAAAAGTTATCTATAAATTAGTCAGTTAATGACAATACAGATTCTCAGTGCAGGGATCATAACGGGAGAAGATAAGAGACTGGGTAACGGACCGTTTATTAAAGAAAAACGCCTCATATTTATACAGTTTTAACCACATTAAGTGTTGACTAGGTCAGTGGACAATAAACTGTTCTGATTGGCTGGAGATTGGCTCAAGGTTAAATAAAGGGAGGAAAAGTTGTCCAATGAGATTATTTCCTGACCACAACGTTAACTAAATCTCGATTTGAGGGATGAACACGTCTACTTGACCAGTGAGCTAGGTAGTGAGATTCCCATTCATTTACTGTCCCGATAGACCATAGGGCTTCAATCTTTAAAGGATCAGTAGCAGTGGTGTTTCATATCCAGCCTTCCATCTCCCTACTGGGACTTCCTATGGGCTAATGGCCTAGGCAAGATTTAAAAGTCCGTCGACTGGGAATCGAATACCGAATCCCCTCACCCTCAGTGTAGTTGGTGCATATTCTAACATTGAAACAGGTCGAACTAATCCAAACTGATGAGGTCATTTCAGATTTTGAGTACACTGGGCACAAGTTTCGGACTGGTTCAGGACTCTTCATCAGTACTCTCATTTCAAATCCATTGGAAGTAGAACCTTCACATTAAAACTTTCCACTGAAGTTCAGCCATCCATATAGCACATAAAGGAAGACGAACGACAAAGAGGGAGTGGGGGAGAGGAAAAGGGAACTAGAAAGAATGTTAACCAGCAGAAATTTGAGGCATAAAGAATAGTGACATAAAAAAACAAAGGGTTTTATTCGATATGGCAGATCACACAGGGGGTGGATGTATCTGCACCATTGAGAGCGACGAATTCGAGCTATATCACCAATTGCCTCCAGCCTTCATTGGTTCTTAGAATTCCAACGTCCCCAACCAGCCAGTCTACACCTCCCTACGTGGCTGGCTCAAACAGCCTAATGATATTACTCAATAGGTGGAAGGGGAGAGGACTCCGATATCCCCCCCTTGCCGCCGGAATGTCAAGTGACTTAGCCGATGAACGACATTTTCTGAAGGCTCTCGAATTACAATACTCAGATCTTATAGAGGAGGGGAAAAAATCAATATAATACCATTTTTAGAAAATAATAACTTACTCATATAATGCTGTCCTGGCTTTATGGATTGGTGTTTCTGAGCTGTTACTATTACTATTGTGATTATTCATCCCATGACCCATAATATTTACATTCCCAGCATTACTATGATGATGATTACTATTCATTGTTCCTGAATTCGACGATGATGACGCTGATACTGATGCTGATGTCGGCATTAAATGTCGTGAATTCATTTCAGCATAATTTAAATGTGGATGTGATGATGCACCAATAGGATGACTCAGGGATAAACGATGGGAAGGATTATTGTTATTATTATTATTAGCGGTACCTCCCCCACTGGTATTATTTACATTGGGTCCACCGCCACCACCACCGAGTGTTGGCGTATTCGAATATGTTGTAGGATAATAAGATGAGATATTACTATTATTGTTAGCATTACTATTACTATTACTGTTACTATGGTTACTGTTACTATCGTAATTACAATCATCCTCGGGTTTCATCATACTAGTTTTACGCTTCATATGTCCACCATTGTTCCCATTACCATTACTACTATTATTATTAGAATTATTCTCCACACGTGGATCATTATTACACGACGTTGAAATAACTGGAGAATCATTGGATGCTTTTGCAATGAAGGTATTCGATGAATCGGATAGAGGTAATGTCATTGTTGCTGTAGGAGTTGGTGTTGTCGGTGTCAACTGATCTGTATTCAGGGTTGTAGAACCGGGATCAATGCACTGTGCTGAAGTAGAAGTACTGATAGCAGAAGAAGAAGGAAATGCGGTGGAGGGGGAGGACACGGAAGCGGATATGCACGTCGTTGACGAGGGTAAGGATGTAGACGAAGAAGATGTAGACGTTACATTAGCAGTATGATATGGATGGTTGGCATGAATCGATGGAGTATTGACATTATCTTCACGTTTATCACAAGAAGTGTTTGTATCATAGGATAACATTTTACTATTACTATCACTACTACTGTTATTGTTGTTATTAGTAGTAGTGGTATCACTGACTTGTTTATTACACGAAGAGGAGTAGGCAGACGTTGAAATTCGATTTGGTGAAGAACAGGATATTGATGAGTATATTTCAGGTGAATTCTGAAAGTAAAGCAAACCAAAACAAAGCAAAAGAAGACATGAGATGCATTATTATTATTATTATGTAATGAGAGGAGAAAAAAGTGTCAAATAAGAAGTTAATGGGGGTGGGTGGGAATTACCGTCGCTTGTGATGTAATTATTCCTAACTAAGGTGGACTGGATTATTTGAGACGATAAGAATACGTACGTTGGACCATTGATAAGAAGACTCCATCTGAACTTCGCCGACGATTTATGCTTCATGTCACACACACAAACTCGAAGACTTACAGGTGACGAAAACCAACGAATTGGCAGAAGAGGCTGGCAGTCAGTGAAGACAGGACTCCGGGTGAACACAGAGAAGGTGGAAGTGATGAAGATAACCAACCAACCGACCGACCGACCGACAACACCAGCAGCAGTCACTATCAACGGAGCAAAGTTGGAAGAGATTGCCTCTCTCTCCACCCACCTATATTACTTCTTAGAATTTTAACCCTCTCCCACCCAGGGTTAAAATTCTGAGAAGTAATATAGGCAGGTGGAAAGTGATAGAGGTTGATTACTGAATCCTTGTTCATCGAGTCTACACACCCAACACGTGCAATAGGAATGACTCATCACTCAGACCAGAAATATGGAAAATATTACTACCAATCAAATCAAGCGATGGGAAATAATGGAATTATATAAACGAAGTTAGAAAGTTATGTGAGTAATGCCTTGATATGATGATTATGAGCAGCAATAAATTGTGCTGGAAACGTGGTCATCAGTAAATATTACTGTATAACACACTGTGAGACTTTATCGAAATATAAATTTTACCCATTATAGAGTTACACTCAACTACCACAGTGTACAAGTTCTATTCTTATATCATTGGAAGAGATTATTGCTTCCTTCACTTATCTGGCTAGGCAGCATCGTTCCAACCACAAGCCGTCGGCATGAAGGATGATGTCAAAGCCAGTTAGAAAGGGAAGGGTAAGACAGACATTCATCTCTCTAAAATCAACATCAAGTGTGGTGAGAGCTGTCTACTAGACAAATTGGTAGACGGTAATTTACGTCAATATTTACGTTCCCAAGATTTGTCGTGAGAAAATGTGAACAAAGATTGACTTTGCGTAGGCGGATGCAGTTAACATATAGAGGATTTGACATTCAAGAAACAGTCACAAATAGATGAAAGATTAACTTTACGTGAGAAACAACCAATCGGAAGACTGTGTTTGTTTACTTAAATATCCATAGTAATGTACATGAAAATATATAAATATGCGTTGATTTCCTTAATAAATGATCTGTTGCCTGGCCCTTGTCTTCTGTTGTTACACAAGAACAAAATTCAGATTCTGTTCAACACCAGTGTTAAGTCAGTCAGTCAGTCACTTCTTCTTCTATACGCGTCAGAATCTTGACTTTCACGCCAAGGAAAGCATTTCTAACAGGCTACTTTAGACTTTTACTAATAGCTGCCCACTTCTCTGGCTATATATACTGAAGATCGGATGGTCGACCAGGAAGAAAGAGCGACCAGCAAAATCTGGGAACAAACCAATCAAGAACTTACTGGTCCACAACAAATATTTGGACGGAAATAAAGACAGTCAAATGATATCGCGCCCAGTTCAGCCCATTTCTCTAGTGGAACTCGGATGGTGAGTTGGGCGTAGGTCTAAGGGTGACGCCGAGGAGATTGTGAGAAGGGGATGAGTTGAAAGACTGTGGGCAATCGTAGGACTAGCTAAAGAGGACTTCAGGGAACAGGATTAAAAAAAGGAGATGTGTTGTTGAGACCAGCCTCCTTTGTTCCACTCGGAACCCAAGGGAATAATAATAATAAATGTTGTAACTCTCAAAGAAGCTAATTTATACTTGTCTACTTTTCTGAATTCCCCTCACTTCTCTGGCTCTAGAAGTATATTCACTTCCCTCCTCTTCACATGATCTCTCTTCTCGTTATCATACTTGGACCTTTGCACAATTCGTCCAGCGTATGTAGTTCTCACTCAACGCTCTTCTCTTAAGAGTATTTAAGAGTGAGTCAGCTGGGAGTCAAACCCCAGAGCCACTAGTTTACTTAGCATGCATTCTATAAACCAGCGCAGTCAGACAGTCTTAGTTTGAAACTATTGCACACCCACGCCCACTCATCCCTAACCCCACCCTTTACGAAGTGAATCGAACCGAAAATCCCCGGGGTTGGAATTCTAACCTCAAAAATCAGTCCACAGGTAAGAAAGCTAATATGCTATGTACATACATACCTCCTGTCCTCCCCCCCGCACCACCACCACCAGCACACACACATACACAACACACCCTTCCGACATGATATGATCACGTTATTCATTTTAATTATTACAAATGTAAATTATTCTGTAGATCGATGAATGTTGGTCAATAATTAGGGCCATTATTGATTATATCAGAAATATATATGTAAGAATTTATTTTACTGTAAATAGTTACAGTTTTTGGCAAATTATTTTAAAAATTAAAAAAAATCAATCTAATCAATCCAATCATTGGAAATGGTCATATGATCTATGGAATTTTTTTTTGAATTTTAAATCGATATTTTCTGTTGTGTGAAGAGAAATAAAATAGATGATAGGATAATAATCATTTATTAGCAGCATAGCAACAAGAAAGGGGAGAGAGAGTGAGTGAGAAACAGGTCGGCATAATGAATGAATGAATCAGGTTTTTATTCTGGCAATCAAATAATTTCTTTTTGTTAATTACATGACGTAAATTATTATTATTATTTTCAAAATGACGGCATGCTTTTTTTCTTCAAGAAAGTTTTAATATAAGTAACCATTGAAATAATTCTCAGTCATTTCTAGGTTGTCTGGGTAGTTTTTTTAATGCTTGTTTGATTGATTGATTGGTTTTATGGCAGAGTGCAAAATATGGGATGATACTGTTTGGAGTATTTATTAGGCAACTAATAATTGGTTCATCTTTCGAAATTTCCCAAGTAGTGTGTTCACCTGTGGTGATAGCTGGCTGCGAACAAGCCAAAATTGTAGACAACAACAATTTACGTCAATGTTTGCGTCCCGAATCAGGGCAATGAGAAAAACAATAACAAAGCTTAACCTTGTGGAAGTCACCAACCAATTACAGCAAAATTAACGTGTGCAAATAGGATTCGCAGATATATGGCTTCACTTTCTGAGAAACGATCACAAGCAGTACAGAATAACCTTCAGCAAGGAAACAACCAATCGGAAGAGGTTGCTTCTCCACTGACAATATTGTACATAAAAATCTATAGATATTCCTTGACTTTCTCAATAAACGATCTGTTGTCTGGCCCCTGTCTTCTATTGTTACACACCTATCAGTGTGTTAAAATGTAGGCTTTATTATTCTTTCTCTGCTCAGGAGTGGGGTGGAGGTAGCCTCGTGTCTAACCAGTTTTTTCAGGGTCTCCTATCTGCTAATCAACTAGACATGGGGAGGTTTAGAAGTGTGTGTATGTGTGTACCTGCCGATCGTCACTCTACCACTGGACTACAACTCCACATCTGCGACTTAGACTTAGATTCACACTCTGTTAGTTACTTTTTTAGGAACACCAGAACTTTTATCCACTGGTGTATGATAGAAGAATCTCTCTCCCTCTCCCCTCATGTAGACAGCATGAACAACATATGAAACACAATAATTAGGAGGATCTTTTTGGCCTAAATGGCTGTGTTTTGACATTCATGCGATCATTGAGGTAGACGGTCCATTATCTTCCTAGATAACACATTCAGTATTAACTTTAAAACTGAAGTAGCACAGCAAAACATACAATTGGATAAAATAAAGTAGTGTCGTTTTACTTGCACACGGAAGGTAACATAGAGTAGAAATATGACTGTATTGTTATTTTGTAATCAGTCGATAACTGCATAATTTCATTATGAATATATGGACGTAAGAGTTATGGAATTTGGCACTCGGCTTATAGTCAGTAAGTCCCAAGGTTCGAATTCCGCCTTACCTACACTTCACCGTCTAAGTAACTGGATTATACTGTCAGTCCTAGCATAAAAAGTGTAGCCCCTTTGTCTAGAAAATGAAAAACCCACCGCTTGGACGTAACAGTTGTCTAGTCCTCGGTTTCGCGGTGCTGAGTAAATTTTATCAGTCACTAATTAAAGCTGGGGTGGTTGTTGGAGCCAATCGATTGAAAGCCCAGGGCTACACCTTGGTTTCGTGATTTGTTAATACTCTCCAGTCAACAAGACGTATCTACACCCGTAGGATTCGAACCCGCATCACTGGAGCAGTAGAGACACATTACTATTGAATTGCTTTTTAGTCTCACGACCGATTTGTATCATAATCGATTTTTAAAAAGAAAAACAAAGAATGTACTACTTATACAAATCGATAAATCACTACTATTATCACTATTATTATTATTATTGTCACAGACTAAATGCAATCGATTTTCCCACTACTGTCTTCCTCCTGTTTTTACCTCATAAAATCATCAATCTCTTTCATTTTGATAAAATTAACTGAAATCTAATTAATTTTATTAATTTGTCATTATTATTATTACTACTACTATTATTATTATTATTGACTTCTATTTTACCTCAAAAATCCTAAATGGGATAAATATGCAATAAGGGACTGCAGAAAGCAGAAACAGGATGATGCGAGGAGTTAGAGAGATGCAGACACACGCACAGAGGGGGAGGAGGAGGGAAAGAATTCCATTTCCCATAAATTCTTCTTTCTCCTCTTTCCTCTCTAGGCTAAGAAAAAGCGATCGATTTTTCGTTAATTTCTTCACTACTCTCTGATGTTGTTGTACTACATCGTCACTACCATCACCATCACAGTTACCATCAGCAAATACATTAGCATCAAAGACATGGTCATCAGTAGATCTCTCTCTCTCTCTGTACTACAACAACAACTAGGAACAAGCAAACAAGAACGATAAGAGAGATAGTGACACGAGTAAATGAATAAATGAACAAACAAACGAACGA